GGTGGGCCGGGGGCCTGCTCACCCCCACGGCAAGCCTGAAGCAGGAAGATCTTGGGGCGGCCCTGCAGTGCCCCACAGCAGCTCAGCTCCTGCACAAGCGCCTCCAGCTGCCCCTCTTGCCCGTCAGCCCCCAGAAGCTGCCCCTGAGGGCCCCCGTGGGCCATGAGGGCCACAAGGGCACAGCTCACGGGGCCCCTGTGGGCGTCCAGCCACTTCCGGAACTGGGCCATCTCCTCCCGGAAAGCCTGGGGAGGGGATGAGATTAGGCCTGAGCCAGTGTCACGGCCTCCCTAGTACCTGGCTCCCCGCCTCTGGGTGGTTTCTGTAGTCCTCGGCCCACACTACCTCCCACCTCCTGCCAGCCTCAGGCCGGGGGGGGGAGCAAGACCTTTTTCTAACCAACCCCCCTGCTGCAAAGCCTATCACGGACTCATTGGAGATGTGGGTCCAGCTTCCGGCAGCTGGTTCTCGGATCGCCACGGAGAAGTTGCACCAAAAAGTTAAGAGCCGTGAGGGGAGAGCAGTGAGCTGCCAGCTGCCTGGGAAGGAACCAGGGACCCTCCCAGGAAAAGCCTGAGGGTCCAGCTAGAGCCTTGAGCAGGGGCCAGCGTGGGAGGCGGCGGGGGCCCGAGAGACTGGACTTCCAGGGGCTAGGGAAGGGGGTTCGCACAGATGCGTGCATACAACAGGGAGGATGGGGGTGCGTTTCCTGCCCACGGTTGGTACGAGGCTCAGGAGAGAGTCCCCAGGGCCCCGTGGGGCACCCTTCCTCCAGTGGGTCTGGGCTCCCCTCACCTGGGCTGCAGGGTCTGTCCGCAGGGCAGTCTTGAAGCCCAGGGCCTGACACAGGCCCCCCAGTGCCTCCACATCATGCTGGGCCCCCGGCCGGCCCTGGGTCACAGCCAGCAGGAGGGCGGCCCTGGCCCCGGACAGGTCATACTGAGCGCTGGGGCTGGGCTCTGGCTGCAGACAGGACTAAGTGGGTTCAACACAGTCGGAGGACCTCCCGGCTCCTTGTCCCCACCCGGATCTCCCCACGCCTCCATCCCACTCAAAACTGCTGCCATGTGGTTGGACCCCCGCCCTGCCCCCTCACCTCAGGCCCGCAGGGCTCCACGTTCCCTAGGTACAGTGCCCCCCGCAAGGAGCTCCGAAGCATTGGGCAGTAGGCAGCCCCTGCCGACTCTTGAGCTGTCCTGGAGAAGACCTAGGGGCAGAGGACTCTTCAGGCGGCCGCTCTGTGGGGGTGGGTTATGGGGGGGGCCTGGCTCCAGGGCACAGCTTGGCCAGGCTCTTTGGGATCCCCTGCCAGAATGGAGGGAGGAGGCGACATGAAAGAAAGGGAAGGCTTGAGGGAGGTCCTAGTCAAGCTCAGGGTCACAGAATTCCAGGACGTGGGTGGCCGCAGGGAGACAGTGGCCAAGCCATTAGCCACACTGCCCCCCGGCCCAGCACAGAGGTGGGGTGCTCCCAGAGCGGGTCAGGGCCCATCCGGGAAGGCCTGTGGGGTGGGCACCACCTAGGGAGAACTGTGGAGCAGAGCTGGGGCCCACCCTCACCTCTGGGGTCAGCCAATGACTACCCGCTGCCCAGTGAGAACTTTGGGCCTCAAGACCTGACCTGATCCCCAGGGACCCACAGGTCTGATGGGACCGTCATGGCCGGGTGAGTGTGAACAGGGGTGGATGGGAATTCAAGCATCTGCCCTTGGGTGATGAGGGCCACAGCCAACGCCTAGAGGGTCTGTGCCAGGCTGGGATGATGGGGGGGTGCGGGGGGCGCGGGTGGGGACAGGACTCCAAGCAGAGGGAGCAGCCTGGGCACAGGCATGGAGGAGAGCAGATGCTGGAAAACCTAAGGGTGCCCTCAGTGGGTTAGGACAGGCATGGGAGGAGGTGGGAGGCGAGGCTTAGAGGCTGACGCCCGAGTGTAAACAACAAGCCTTATTGTGGCATGATGGGGGGTAATGGTTCAGGTGGGGATGAGACCGGGCCTGGGCCAGGGTCACAGCCTCCTCAGTTCCTGGCGGCCCTCCCTCTGGGTGGTTTCTCTGGCCCCCTAGAGAACACATCGGTCCCTTCGTCCCCCCTCCCGGGACGCCCCCCTGGGCCTTCACCTCTGTTAGCAGCTGCAGCAGTGACCAGTGAGGATGGCGGCCGCAGAGCTCGCCCAGGCTGGCGAGGAAGGCCCCAGGCTCGGGGACAGCTGGGTGGAGAAGCAGCAGCACACAGGCCTGGAGGGAAGGTCTCGGCCCTCTTGCCCACCCCTACCCCCACTCTGTCTGGCCCCCATCGGGGGCCCCGGCCGGCCCGCTCACCCCCGGGAGCACTGGAGAGCAGCAGGAAGACCTTGGGGCGGCCCCACAGGGCCTTGCAGCGGCTCAGCTCCCGGACCAGCTGCTGCGACTGCCTCAGCTGCCGGCGGGGGGCCACCAAGGCCATGAAAGCACAGCCCACTGGGCCCCCGTGGGCATCCAGCCGCTCCGGGAACCTCGTCAGCTCCCCACGGAAGCCCTGGGGCAGAAGTGAGTGCCAGCCTGAGTGCAGGGAGGACCCAGGCGGGGCTGAGGGCGGAGGTCGGTGTGGGGGGCAGGGGAGGCCTCACCTGGACGGAGGACTCCTGCCTCTGGCAGCTCTCAAAGCCCAGGGTCTGGAATACGCCCTCCAGGAGAGCGACTGTAGAGGCTGACACCTCAGGGCTGCAGAGGGCCAGGGCCACCCTTGGGCCCTTCATGCTGTACTTACCCTGGGAAGGCAAGGCCAGAATTGGGCCGGGGTGGGGTTCAACTGGGAGCCAGCGATGGCCTAGGCCAGCCAGCGCCTACCTTTCTTCCCAGGCTTTCCTGAGCATCAGCCACCTGGGAGGCCACCTGCAGCATCCCAGCCACCAAGAAAGCCATGGGGGTGATGTGGGGGCTTCCTTCAAACAGCTCCAGTGCCAATGCTCTGGGTCCCAAGGCCCGGCCTCTCTCCGAGTCTTATCCCATCAGCTCTGTTTATGAGCAGAGCTGGACTCTGACCCCTGCCCTGGAACCCTGGGTCCTGGACACCCCCAGGCCCTGCTGTTCCCTGGCTCCCATGGGCTACTTCCTGCCTGGCACTAACACACCCCCACCTGCGCCAGGAGCCTGTGCCCAGTCTATTCTTAGCTTCTGGCCCACCTGCTATCTGATCTCGTTACACTCTGGTGTCTCCCTTCTGAGCCGCCTCCAGCACCGAAAAAATTCATTCTCTGCCCCCACCATCCCCTACCCCTACTCACTCATTCAGGGCACGTATGGGAGCCTGCCCACACAGCAACTGCCAGCCTAGGGGCATGGGAAGTAGCGAAGGGCACCGCCCCAGAGACAGGAACCCCTGGCTGAACCCTGCTCTCTAGGGAGAGCCCCGTGGCTTCATCAGGGAAATGGGGTCCGTCTAGCGACCTTGGGATGAAGCCTGGGTTACATGGGGGCCAGAGAGGCAGGCGCACAGACTGGGGGACAACACATCTTGCCTCGGCTCACCCCGAGTCTCGCAGGTGGCCCCAAGGCCACCACCTGCTGAATTGCAAAGGCCTTGGCAGGGTAGAAGGTGATCTCAGCACACACCCACCAGCTCCACAGGGGCCCAGGCCCGGGCCAGGCAGGGGAGGGTCAGATGTGAAAGGATGCATGGGGCCTGCTCCATCTCAGCACACTCCCTCCCTAGGGAGTCTGAGCACAGGGTCCAGCTGAGAGTTCCGGGGCCCCCGTGGGCAGCACAAGCCCCTGCCCTGACTAGTCACAGGGTCCGAGCTGTCTGATTTCATCAAGGAACAGAGGGAGGGCCCTGGGGAAAACCCTAGCTCCCAGTTAGCTGCCCACTCTCCTGTGGGGTAAGGAGGGGTGTGCCAGCTGTCCTCAGACGGGCAGGCACTGGCTGACACGGGGATGCCCCTGAGGCTCACGGCAGCCCCTGGGGCCCAGGCTGCCCAGAAGCTGAGACGGTGGCCCCACCCGATGACTGTCCAGCACCACGGGCTACCAGGACCACCAGGTCAGGAGGCCCAGGCCCGCCCCCCACCCCCCCATTCCCAGCGGCCACCTAAAGAACAAGAGCAGCTTGGAGGAAGTTTTCAAGTTTATTCTCACCTTTCTGCTGCCCTTCTAAGGCCAGCTGGGCCAGCTCCTTGGGAGGGCCTGTGGTCAGTCCCTGTGAATGCCCTTCTGCAGGGACTGCAGCGCCTCAGGAGTCAACAATGTGTGGACAGAGCAGTGTGAAGTACCGTAAACCTCGAGAGCCCAGGGGAGCGGGGGGCAGCGGGGCAGCGGGCCTCGGCCAACCCTGTTCTGAGTCTGCACAGTGGGCCTCTGTCCCTAGAGCCCACAACCGCCCTCCCCAGCTGGTGGAGGGTGACTCTCGGGAACTCAGCCAGAGGCAGGTTGGCTCAGAGCAGAGGCGGGCAGCTTCTGGGCTGCTGGGACAGGCCAGAGCCTGGCGATGGAAAGGGGTGGAGCCCAGGATCCACATCACAGGTGTGGGCTGATCCCTTGCCCGACCCCAGCAGCACCCTGAGGCTTAGCCTCCCTCCCACCGGAAGGCACAGGATGGCAGGACGGCAGGCCTGGCCCATGGACCCAGCCCAGAGGCTGGGAACAAAGAGCCACGGGGCCAAGCAGGGCTGAGGGGGGCTCTGCAATGGGGCTCCAGGCCCTGCCTGAGTCCTCAGACTTCCCTCTCCCCTGTTCTCAGCCCACCCGCCTACAATGTGCTGGGGCTCCAGAAAACCAGGGGCAAGAAAAACCTCAGAGCATTAGAAGTCTGGCAGTGAAGTCACAGGGGACTGCATGCCCTGGGCGTCAGCCAGGGTCCCAGGAGGGCAGGGCCGGCGGGTTCTGTGAGCGGGGAGCCCGCCGCTGAGATGGTGGATTCGGATGTGGGGGGTGCCGCTCCGGCCCTCAGCCCACAGGCTGGGCCATCTTGGCGTGCAGGCTCTGGTGGGCGATGAGGTGGGCGCGCTGCTTGAAGCTCTTGTCGCACTCGCCGCAGCCAAAGGGCCGCTCGCCCGTGTGCACGCGCCGGTGGTCCAGCAGGTAGGAGCGCAGCGAAAAGCTCTTGCCGCAGTCACTGCAGCCGAAGGGCTTCTCGCCCGTGTGGATGCGCTGGTGGTCAGCCAGGTAGGCGCTGCGGCTGAAGCTCTTGCCGCACTGGGCGCAGGAGAAGGGCTTCTGGCCCGTGTGCACTCCCTGGTGGCGCGCCAGGTCCGAGGAGCTGCGGAAACTCTTGTCGCACTCCTGGCACTTGTGCGGCTTCTCGCCCGTGTGCGTGCGCTGGTGGCGCGCCAGGTCGGAGCCCCAGCGGAAGCGCTTGCCGCACTGGCCACAGCTGTGCGGCTTCTCGGCCGCCAGGTCCCGGAGCTGCCGCCGGCGCGTGGGCGGCCGGCCCCGCCGCGCCCCTGCCCCCCGCCCCCGGGGCGCCCCCGGCCGGGCTCCGCCCTCCCAGGCCTCGGCCTCCTCTGGCCTCCAGGATGTGGTCTCGTCGCCAGCAGCCTGGTCCGGGAGCGCCGTCACCACCTCCTCCAGCTGGGACCTCTCACTGTGGCTCCTGCGCCCCAAACCTGCAAGCGGGTAGTAGGCAGCCTCTTAAGTGCCACGTGGTTCCGGGGCCATAGCGGAGGGGAGCCGGAATGGAGCTCTGGGCTAGCGCCTGGGCGCTCAGGCTGACAGCCCTGCACTCCAGCAGACCAGCCTCCGTGCAAAGGGGACATGAGAAAATGACGGCAGAGAAGCCGTTTGGAGCACCCAAGGGGTTTGCCAGGCTTCCGCAGCAGAGGTATTTACTAACTACAGGCCTGACCGATCTACCTCACCTTCCACTTACAAACTACAGGCCTAAACAATCTATGCCTGGGATCCCACCCGGGCCCCTGCTGTGCCCAATGCTTACCCAGGGCAATGTTCCGAGAGTTCTCCCTTTTTATGTCCCAGAAGAGATCCCTCTGGGCAGGGTCCAGGGACCCCCATTCTTCCCGGGAGAAATAAAAGGGAATGTCTCCAAATGTCACAGGTCCCTAGAATGAGGTGAGGAAGCCCAGCTCAGAGTTGCCTTGCTCAGGACTCCCCAGGCAGGTATGGGTGGAGATAGGAAGGGCGCTGGGATGGGAACAGGATGGGTCCTGGCAGGAAAAGGAGGGATGGAGGAGGCCTTGGTGAGGAGAGACCCATTTCAGGGACTTATCAGCGTCAGAGGGACAAAGGGACGGGTAACTCACCCCAGAGGCAAAGCAGGTATCTGTCGTCTCACTGGTGTTCCCCTGTTTAAGAGCTGGAAGCTGGGCTGCGGGGAAGAAGGGAGCCTCAGAGAGCCCAGCCCAGGCTGGCGTTAAGGGCTCTCACATGCTGTCCTTCTCACACACACACACAGAGACACCCATGCCACACACACACAGACACCCACGCCACACACAGATACACACATACACACACGCCACACACACTCCACAGACACATACCACACACACACACATGCCACACACACACACCCACGCCACACACACACGCCATGCACACACCACACACACACCCCACACACACACGCCACACACACTCCACACAGACACCCACTCCACACACACACAGACACCCATGCCACACACACACACATGCTATGCACACACCACAGACACCACACACACACACACACCACACACACAGATACACAATACACCACACACACGCCTTGCACACACCATATACAAATGCCTTGCACACACACACACACGCCTTGCACACACACCACACATGCCTTGCACACACATACACCACACACACACACACACACACACACACACACACACACACACACCCCTTGCCTTCCTGGAACAGAAACACCCTACCTGCTCCCTTAGGGCAACGCCTGGGAAGGACTCAGGCCCCTGACCAGCCATTCTGCCGCCTTCAAGCTTACTCACCACCACGGCTGTGTGGCTCCCAGGGTACAGGTGGCCGGCTTCGTGTCCCCGCCCTCCGGGGAGGCCCCTGGGCCTGGGACCCCTGGACTGCAGCCTCGGGTTCCACCCGCTCTGAGGGCATATCCTGTGCAGGAACCACAACACGCTCATCAGCATCGAGACCAGACCGGGGAGAGAGTTTAATCCCTGGGAAGGAGACACAGGACACATTCCTCAGGAGGCTGGGGTGGGCAAGGTGGTCAGCATGGGGCCCCCCGGAAAGACCAGAAGACAGACCAGGCAGTGCTATGTCCCCGACCAAGCACGAGGCAAGGACCAGCCTCCAAAGGCCAGAATCAGAGAGCCACTTAGCAAGGGGCTGTGGTAGGAGACCTTTCTGTCAAGGGCAGGACCCCACTCCCCGGAAACACATCAGCATCTCCCCAGATGCTTCCCAAGAACACAAATAAACGTTTGCAGATCCTGTGGAGCTAAAAGCTGCTTTCTTGGAACATGCCCCCTCTGGTCCTGCTGCTACCCTCCAAAGTCACCAAAAAGAAACCAGATTCACTTGGACGGTGTCTTTCAGAAAGGCCACACATTATGACAAGTTCCTGTGGACACTCCCTCGGCTCTCCATGTCCTCCCCCACCCCCGCCTCTGACCCGTCAAGGACTCATCTCTAGGGAGACAGCCAGCTCTCCTCAGTTCATGTGCCGTCCAGGTGCCCCCAGGATGTGGGAGGGGGCCCCTCACCTGTGACCAAGCTTTCACTGGCTGCTTCTGCAGGTCTTCCACCAAGGCGACAGCTTCCTCGCCACTGCCCGGGCACCGCTGGCACACCCAGTCCTGGACGCCCACTGGCAGCACGCTCAGGAACTGCTCCAGCACCAGCAGCTCCAGGATCTGCTCCTTGGTGCGCAGCTCGGGCCGCAGCCAGCGGCAGCAGAGCTCCCAGAGCTGGCTGAAGGCCTCATGGGGCCCGCCCACATCCCCGTAGCAGAACTGCCGAAAGCGCCGGCGGCACACCTCTGGGTCCCCGCAGTCCTCTGGCCGGGCAGGGTCCTGCTCCCAGGAGGAATCTTCTACCTTCACGATCAGAAGCCCTTCTCCCTCCTCAGGGGCTTGGTCCTGAGGCTCTGGGGGGGCTGCCATCGCCCTGGCCTAGGGCTCAGGGCCAGTCAGCCTCAGCCTGGGTCTTCAGTCTCCCAGAGGGTTCCCCAGTGGGGCTGGCATCTGGACGGACACTCCTGGGGAAAGAGCAAGAAAGTGGGGGTGGGGTGGAATATGAGCAAGCACCAGCCTGGAAGGACGTCCAGGGACTCTAGCTCCAATTCCACCTGACCCTGAAGCCTTTTCTATGCACTCCTCTGATCTTTAGCTCACGCTTCTCTCTCTCTCTCCTACCTATACAGGCCCATGGCCCCTTATCCTCAGTTCCAAAATCCCAAACTCCCAGGTTTTCACCACCTGGTCTACTGACGTGAGATGAGCATATTTATAATCTCCTTTTATCCCAGGTAATGTAAATGTTCATATGTTGTATGGCAGAAATATTAATGTATTTGTTCAGTTCATAAAAATTCATCAAGCTGAACTTTTTTTTTTCGTTCTACCAGTTTATTGCTACCAACCCATCTCCCTCCACCCTCATGCACGCATGCTCAGTCATGTAACCCCATGGACTGCAGCCCGCCAGGCTCCTCTGTCCATGGACCTTTCCAGGCAAGAATATTGGAGTGGGTTGCCATTTCCTTCTCTCAAGCTGAACTTCTGATGTATTTTCTGTATATTATTCTTCAATTAAAAAAAAATTCTTTTAACTGGGAATTCTGTGGTGGTTCGGTGGTTAAGACTTGATGCTTTCACTGCCAGGGATTTGAATTCAATCGCTGGTTGAGGAACTAAGATTCTGCAAACTTGGTGGTGCTTCCCAAAAAAAAAAAATTTTTTTTCCACTAATGTTTTGATTACTGAGTGTTGTCCCAGATTCTCCTGGTAGTGTTATTGTTATACAATATATGTGCTGTATTATCTTTCTCAATCTGAAAACTTAATTCCATAAGACAGACACCACCTGGAGCCATCCATTATCCATAGATACACATGAACATGACACATACTTATACCTTATTGCAACTCTACACGACAGTCCTGAAACGTGTGTATTTTGGGTTTTTACAATTGCTTTTTAAAAAAGTATTTTTAATTATTTATTTTACTTTTGGCTGCGCCGGCTTTTCTCTAGTCGTGGACATTGGTGCCGCTACTCTCTATAGTTGCCCTGAACAGGCTTCTCATTGAACTATCTTCTCTTGTTGCCCAGCACAGGCTCTAGAGCACAGGGGCTACACAGGTTGTGGCACGTGGGCTCAGGAGTTGTGGCGCACAGGCTTAATTGCTCTGGGGCCTGTGGAGTCTTCCTGGATCCGGGATCCAACCCCTGTCTCCTCGAGGACTCTTCGCCACTGAGCCATCAGGGAAGCCCTTTAATTGCTTTTTGTTTCAAGAAAAAAAGTGATTATGAACCATTGTAATAAAAGGGGGGATTTAAACAATACAGTAATACATCAAAGAGAAATTCTTCTCTTCCACATGCAGCTGATCCCCCATTAACAGTCTGAGAGCTGACCTCCCAAATATTTCCCGGGGCAATTACTGGAAATGTATCCACAGAAATGGGGGGAGAGGGAGGGAGGGGAGTGCTTTGTGCGTGTTTTTACATAAATCAGTTCTTACTGCAATACGATTTAGTAATCTGCCTTTCTACCTAACAATGCTTCTTCATCAGCCACTCCAGGAGATCCTGCAGTACGAATATACTTGTTTCTCAATGAGTACCCACCCCAGCTGAGCGAGGCACTCAGATCGTTTCCAATTCTTTTCTACTACACGCGAAGCACGTCCTTTACTTTATTCTCCTACTGCTTACAACACCCCTGAAAGGTACGCTCTCCACGCTCATCCTCCAGTGACCGAGGAGGAGGCTCCGCTCGGAGAGAGCCAGGGACTCACCAGAGTCGCTGAGCAGGACTCGGCAGTCGGGAGCGCGGACCCGGCCGGAGCCCCGCCAGGGTCCCAGGAGCCTTGCCTGCCCGGAGATGAGAGGCGGAGGGGCGGGCGGCTGAAGCGACGCCCCAGGCTTTCCCCTCCGCACCTCCAAGCGGCCCCTCCACCGACCCCTTCGGCCTATGCCTCCTATGGGGGCCGGGCCGGGCCACTCAGAGACCCGTACTAAACCTAAGGAGCCCGGCGGGGCGCGTCGCCGGTCCCGCCCCTCTCTAGACACACACCGCCCATAGCCGCCCAAGCGATCCCAGTTTCCGCCGCCTGCTCCGGGCGCCGGAAGTTCGCGCGGGGCCCGCCGGGAAGCGACATGGAGCACGCGTCGAGGCACGCACTAAGCACTACACTCCCCAGGAGGCCGTTCTCCCAC